AGTTATTTTCAGAAAATAAAAAATACTTTTGTTTTTTTAATTGAAAATCGATTTTAGAATACTCTTCTAATATATTTACAGATCATTTCCATATTGCGGAAAATCCCTGACTGTAATATAGAAAAAGAAGCATTCACAATTTAAATTAGTAATTATTTCGTCGTTAACAATGAATAGGCGAATAGCACTAAAAACATACAAACTTTTAATAATATTCAGTCTTTTGATTTTAACACTATTTTTAAGTTTGTCTATACATGGGTTTATAAGATCTTTAAATTATCAAAATCCGAACTTATTTAAATATTTTTCATTAAATGAAGGTCAAAATATTACAAAGTTTGTTAATACTTTAATTGGAACTGCCAAGGGTAATTTTTTTTATAATTTAACTTTAATTAGAAATAAGATAGGGCATTCCGTAGTTCTTGTGTCTGATCTGCACAGCTATAATGTACCAATAGTTTTTTCGGTTACTTAAACTGCTTAATTCGATTTTTTTTTCAAGTGAGACTTAGAATTAATATTAGTTATGGGCAACTCGTATGATCTCTCACGTGATACGCGAGATAAATTTTATAACTCGGGCCAGTGGCATAATCCGGTCAGAATTTACGTTGTACATTCTGAAATATTCCGAGAAAAAACGGGAAGACATCAAAGACGAGCAAGATCAAGGTAATTACGAAATATGAGAAACCAGAAGATCGGTTGGTTGATAATCTATCCCGCGAATCACGCGCGGGAATTTTGGATTGCCCATCACTAATTAGTATCCCTATAGAATAATTCACTATCTGCTCATCTTTAGGTTGAATCACAGTATTATTTCTTTTTTTTCATCGCTAACAAAATTTGGATATATTTAGATGGACATGTGTTTCCCGGCCCATGCCATCCTTTTGGTGTCGTTAAATTAGGCTTTGATACTAATGACCTGAATGATTTTCATGCTGGGTAAGAATATCTCGTTGATAGTTAAAAAATAGAAAGAACATTAAGTTAAATTTTTTTGTAATTTACTTTTATAGGTACACTACTAAAGGCAATATCACAGGAATTTCTCGTATGTATTTGTTATGTATTTTTGGATGTCGATAAATCGTATATCGATGCACCTATTAATCGATTAATTATCGTAAAGACCTGCATGTCAGTGGGACAGGAGGTAAGTTAGGGATAGATATAATATATATTATTTATGTGTTATCATTTCGCTCATAGCGGATTAAATGAAATGCAGGTGAAGCAAAATATGGTGTAATAAGTCAATTCCCAGTGGTAGATTCAATTGAGGACCCACTTGATTTTACCGAAAATTTATCTTCCGAACGTTCTTTTGAACATTTTGAAGTTGGTTATTCAAAGTTTGGATTAAAACGTTATAATATTACGGTTGAATTAACTGCTAGTAGAAAAACAGGTCTTCATCGATATACTTTTCCTCCAACTGAAAATGGAGCTAAAATTTTTCTTGATTTACCTCATAATCTTATTGTACCTAATTATGGGTATGTTTTATTATAGATAATTTTATAAAATGTATATATATAGTAATTATTAGCAATTATTAATAATGACCATAAATAATGACCATATTCTATTCGTTTAGATTTACCCATTTATACCGTGGAGGATCAATTCAATTTATCTCTCTCAACCAAGTAAAAGGTGCAGCACGTTATAGTGGAGGTTGGAATAGGGGAGGCCCCTATATAGTCTACTTTTGTTCCCAATTTAACACTAACGCCATTGAGTTTAATACCTGGCAGAGTACTGAAAGTTTTCGATATCAAAATTCAGTAAACGTTGATGGAACTCAATTTGGTGGCGTTGATGGAGTTATTTTAACGTTTAATACTACTGAAAATTCGGTAATAATATCAAAAGTTGGAATTTCATTTATTTCGGTTGATCAAGCTTGTAGTAATGCTGAAAATGAGATACCGGATTGGGATTTTGAGAAGACTAAGCAAGAAGCCGTAAAGGCTTGGCAAACGGAGTTAGAAAAAATATATGTTGAGGGTGGATCTGATGAGCTAAAAACTATTTTTTACAGTAGCTTATACAGAACAATGATTATGCCTAGTGACAGGTGTGTATTATTATTTTATCATTATACAAACGTATATTTAACATCTTACTAAATTTATGTTTTATACATAGAACTGGCGAGAATCCAAAATGGAAATCATTTGACAACAACGGTAATATAATACCACATTATGATGATTTTTATACTTTGGTATGTTATTTATTGTTAAGGTTGAGATTTACTGAAGTTGTGATTGGTTGGCTGAAATAGAGAATTAGAAGTTGTGAATTGGGTCTATTTAATTTAATTTTTTTGAGAAGCATTTTTTTTCTTAGAGTTAAGTTAGGAATTAGGTTAGATTTGTTTTATAAAGTGTAAAGTTTTGAATCTCAACTTCAACCAACCTCATCTTTAGCCTTAATATTATCTTACAAAATCTGAAAAAAAAACTAATTAAATGATTTATTAAAATTAATAGTGGGACACGTTTAGGTAAATCAAAATTTCATAATTTAAATATTATGACATGACAGTAAGGTAATTTGTGAATGTAAATATAGAACGACAAACCCATTATTCACACTTTTCCAACAAGAACGAGCCGTAGACATTGCTAGATCATTGATTGACATGTATGAAAATGAAGGATTTATGCCTGATGGAAGAAGTGGATTAGCGAATGGGATTACGCAAGGTGGATCTAATGCTGATATGGTTGTGGTAAGATTTAAATCATTGATGGCTTTTACTAGATAATATAACATCTTATTTTATTATATCACTTTATACTGTAACAGGCGGAAACTTATTTAAAAAAATTAGGTACTAATGTAATAGATTGGGATCTTGCTTATAAAGCTTTAATCAAAGATGCAGAGGTAGATCCAAATGAACGCGGATTATACGAAGGTCGAGCATTCTTGGCATATTATAAACGATATGGCTATGTACCTTACTTGGAAAAGTTTATAGGAATTTATGCTTATTGTCCTTGCAGCAGAACTATGGAGTATTCTGCTAATGATTATAGTATCAGTCTTGTTGCCAAAGGTAAAAATATATAAAATTGAGGGAGTGTTGAAGAAAAGAGTTTATATTCTTGAATGATTTTTTAATCTTACGTTATTTTATAAAGAGCTAGGTAAATATGATGATTATATTAAATACAGAAAAAGAGCGAGAAATTGGGATAATCTATGGAATTCCGATAAGATTTTTGATGGTAAATAATTTTAATTCTTATTTTATACAGTATATTATATGTGTAATGCTTATTAAACTTATTATTATTGGTAAAAGACACGAAAGGATTTATCATGCCAAGATATGAAAATGGTACATATCATGACTTAAACGTTTTAAATGAAGCTGGATCCTATTATCCATATTACGAAGGTTCTGCATGGGAATATAGTTTGGATATACCTTTTGGTATGTACTTTGTAAAAGTAATATACAACTATTATTATTTTTATATTTATTTCACGATATTCTATCATGTTATTATTAACTATTCGCTATTATTTTAAAAATGTAGATGTGAAAAGATTAATTGAATTGGTTGGTGGACCAAAACTTTTTGAAGAACGACTTGACAAAACATTTTCTGATAAATCCTATCAAACTGGTTACTATAACATAGGAAATGAACCTGATTTTTTTCACATTTGTTTATATCATTTTATTGGAAAGCAATATAAGAGTGTTGATGTTATAAGGGATATTTTAAGAACTAAGTTTGGAAGTGGCCAAGATGGAATTCCAGGTATGTTATAAATTAGCATACTAAGTAATAATAAGTTATAATAAGATATAAATAAATAAATTATATACTTATTCTTATTGAATAGGGAATGATGATTCAGGGGCGATGGGAAGTTGGTTTGCTTTTAATGCTATCGGATTATACCCATTGTAAGATATAACTGATAAATAATTACTTATTATTATACTGCGTATTTCACGTCCTTCCTATAAATTTACTATTATTATTATTATTATTTCCATAAAAAATAATAGGGCTGGCACAGATATATATCTAATAAACTCACCACATTTTGATAGAGTAACGATAAACCTCTCACCACAAATAACATTCACAATTTTAGCCTATAATTTAGCAGCCGATAATCACATAAATCCATATGTTCAAAGCGTGAATATCAATGGCATAAATTGGAGAAAAACATGGTTTAGACATTCAGATATTGCAAAAGGGGCGATTATGGAATTAGTTATGGGTCCAGAACCAAGTAAGGTTTGGGGTATTATTGATGAAAACGAAGATAAATTTGATATAGAAGATAGAGTCGTTCCACCTAGTATGAGTAGTATTAATAGTTAAATTAATATTTATTAAGATTTACTAACTTTTAATAATAATTTTTTTGTTAAAATTATATTTAATTTGTCTAAATGCCGGTGTCAATATAATTCACTTGGTGTGAACATAAGATGAACGGACACAAATTGTTTGTTAAATTTATAAGTGATAGTTATTATTGTTAATAGATCCTTTTTAGAAGTTATGTTTACTAGTAGAATAATTATAATAGTTTGCATATCGATACGGTGGCGTTTTGTTGGCTAAAGTCTTATATATCAGGTTCTGAAATATCAAAGTTTTATTATCTGTGTAATTTAAATACAATTTACAAATAATATAATATGTGCATGTGAAATATTCATAAATAGAACAGTTTAGAGTTTACTAAAACCATATTGCAAAAATCTTACATTATAAATTATTAACATTACAAGGGAATTTTTGTATTTCATCAAAATCAGTTTTTTATTGGGTTCTTAATAGAGCCAAGGAACAATCAGACGAGATTTTTGACACATATAAAAATATTATTCACCTAGCTGATTATTTCTTAGCTCTGGTACGTAGGAACTTATATTTGCGATTTAATATAAAAAGCTCTTTTGGTGATCTATTGTATAATGCCAATAATTTTTACTAAATCTACTTTGATTACTTTTTTTTAAATTAGTTGAATTGTCTTAGACGGGCATTTAAACGCCTAAGTTCAGATTATTATAGAAAGATAATTGTTTATCTGTTGTTATAAATTATTGGATTTAATCGTTTCATGCTTTTGAGCAGTGTTGATATGTCCAATAATTTTTAAAAATGTTGGACATATAAAATTTTATATGTCCATCGTTTTCAAAATCATTGGACATATGTCCAATGCCAACACTGCTTTTGGGCGAATTAAGTTGACCCTCAACCTAAGGTAAAATTGGCCCAAGAACAATTTTCACTTAATAGACGGTCGTGATTTCATGAGTAATTCCGGCCTAATTTTTTGATCGTCGCTCTTAACCAATCAAAATCAAAAATTTGCCGCGAAATTCTGTTGCGGCAGCTTATAAAAATTAAGTTACTTTTTTTTTTTAGTTTTTTCGTAAATTGGACAGGTTTTTCCGTAATTAGTTATTATAAATAATTTAATTTTTACTCAAATTAACAAAAAAAAATATTAATTAGCAAAAAAAATATTAAAAAAAAATGAATTATGAACAAGGATTTACGCATGAAGAAATCGAAGAATTTGAAAATGAGATTATGCAAGAATTATTTACTACACCAATTAAAAGTATATCGTTCTTCATTTTTACAAATTTCATGTAATAAATGTGAATATGAACAAGTAATCGAAGGGTTAATGCAAAACTAATAAGATTACGTAACGTTGGGGTGCGCGATATACTAAGTAAATCAAAACTATATGTGGTATCATATAAAAATCAATTATCGAATTTTTTTTGTAATTATAGCAAATTTTAAATCGATGAACAGCCCTAACAGTTCGATAAATTTGGATAAAATTTTGGAAAGACTAGTATTATGTCTCTACGAACAAAGCTATAGAGCCATTTCTTTCATTTAAGCATGAAAAAAACTTTGATCTAAAGCGAAAATCTAATTTGGTTTCTTTTTAAAGAAATGGCTCTATAGCTTTGTTCATAGAGATATAATACTAGTCTTGGCAAAATTTTATCCAAATCTATCGAACCGTTAGGGTTATGCATCTATTTAAAGCTTTGCTATAATTACTATAAAGTTATTACCTATCTAAAAAATATTTATTAATTAATTTTACTATATGACCACATATAGTTTTGATTTATATAGTATACCGCGCACCCCAGCGGCACATGTCAGCCAACCAATTGCTCCGACAAACCAAATTTCATGATATTAATCGTTGTATGACCAATATCTTATAAGTATTATTTTTAAATCAATTTATAGTTATTTTCGATGTAATATTATTTATTTATTTATTTATTTTTTAAAAAAAATATTAGGTCAACGATTTCTGTTGTAAAGCTATCTAGTGCTCAAAGAGGATATTTGATTAAGCATACTGTATTGCGTCCTCAAGACAACATGTATAGAATTACTGAAGATGTTAGAATTTCCTGTAATTCGAAAAAGACTTTGTTAAATTAAAGAATTTGGAACGAGCGTCGAAGAAAAAATGGCAGTAATTCCAGTGACAGTCCTAAAGTCGGTCGGTGAGTTTGTCGCTAAAACGAAACTGGTGTATACTTTGGGTCCTTCTTGACAATAATTCCATCTGCGTCTATGTACACCAAAGATCCAACCCACTAAGATAAAAAAAATTCCATGATGGTAGATATGTTTAATTCGTAATTAGTTTGAGTTATTTACAAATCTCAACAAAACTTGTCAACATTTGGATAGAATAAGTTTGCAAAAGAAGCATAATAATTAATAAAGCAGTGTATTACGTAACTATTAAAGTTCTGCGATAATTTACAATGTATTTTGCTCGCACAGATCAGTGAAAAATTTTATCAAAAAGTATAAATTTGTATATGCGCTGTTTGTAAATGTTCTTTGATCAGATATTACAAATTTAAAAGTAAAAAAAAAAAAAACGATCCACATCGTCTTATACATTGTAATTTTTTTGTGCAGAAAAACGTTCGTTTCGCTCGAAATATTCTCAAATCATTGTACCAGATGTGTATATTAAATAAAAATTAAGTTTCTGTAAATTTACTTTTTTACAACCTTCGCTAAATTTTTCGTTAACATGATCTTGTCCCGTGAATCGAATAATCTTATACCTTTTTATTTAAAACCCAATAGGCGAATTTGTGGAAATTTTGGATGCCCTTCTGATAATACAAACTTTACATTCCCGTATTGCATCTTCGACTACCGGCTGCGGGATTTATGCACGTTTTCGGGTGTTTCAACTTAGTTTATAAAACTTTCGACTAGACAATTGCGTTCCTAAATTATTTCCTGTTTGCTTAATTAAAGTATCTCGCAAGTATGAGTAATTCAATATTTAAATGTTGAGGTCTGGATTCGTTATACGTTCGAACATTCACCATAACGTAAGTTCCAAAAATTCCTATCTTATGATTCCATGCAAAATTAATTAATTGGTTTAATCAAAATTTGAAAATTTCCAAAAAAATTTTTTATGTTTTAATAACCAGATGGGTTTTAGAAAAATTTTTATATAAATTTTATGAAATTTTACATATGAAATTTAAAAAAAGAGCCGACCGGCCGGGTTTATTTAAAAGTTTCATGTTATGAAAACCAATTAAATTTGTATGTCTTATCGTTGAAGAAAAAGTTTGTTTATATTTTTAATGAAAAATTACTTATTTTATAATTTTAGAAGTTAGATTATTTATATCAATATGAAGTCATGTTGTAGTTACTGAATTCATTATTTTTCAATCGGTAGAACGCGTGTCGATTGAGAATCACAAATTTGTGATCGACACAACGCAATTGGTTTGACGCGTTATCAGTATAGATAGGTTTAAATTTTTCTGTATTTAGCAAAATTTGGGGACTAAATATTTGGATTTGGCAACCAAATTTTATTAATATTATTGTACAATAACTTAAATTTTTACATAGAAATTTGATCCGAATTATTTCATTATGGGAAAATCGAAAAAGCGTGTCAATTTATAAACCAACAAATTTAAAAATGACGCATAACACGCTGTAACTACTTAAATATAGTAGATGACTAGGTTCGAGTTTCGCCAACGAAAAACCTCTGGGTTTTCGCTTAATAACTATAGAAGATGTACTTTTGTCGTTTTTTTTTGATACCCTGGTGTTTTAAGGTCGGTCAGTATCGTTGGTACTGTTAAATCTACTTTTAGTCTATAATTATATACATAGATATTATGTTTAATTTAGATACAGTACCAAATTAAAACAGCGTTCTATTATCTGATGATTTATTAGGTTTCAAATTACTTCTATATTTCCTGAACCAATAATTCGCAGTCTGAATATCTCTCTTTGTACCGATAGCATTTTGATAAAATCGAGCAAAATTACTTATTGCTGCATTATTACAAATATTTGCAGATTTTTCATGGTATTCAAATGCTATATTATAATCTTGATAAAAATAACCATATATTACATATTGCATAAGCATTATCCATATCAGCAGATCTCTTATAAGATTCAAATGCTTTCTGGCAATTTCTTACTCAAATGCTTTCTGATAATTTTTTTCTACCCCAACTCCATTATCATAATTCTTACAAGTCGATTTCATTTTATTTTTTAATAAATATAAAACAAAAACGAAAATTGAATTAACAGTTTAAATCTTTTAATTTCAAGATTATATTTTACTAAGTTCTGCAGATACAACTAATTACCGTATTGTCGCGAAATAATGTGCAGAGGTGTAATTTCAATTTTTGGCCTAAATTAAGCTTAATTCGGGCCATTACTATAAATAACGCCCATGGGCATTATTTCGCGACAATATGGTATAGAAATATCCAACCCCTAAAAATTTAATTCGAAGTATATCACTTACAAGTCGGAATTCATTCAACGTAAAGGTTCTGTTTAGAATTGATATTTTATTTGCTACTATAAGAGATAATGCTTAGAAAAAAATTTTTAATTTTGTTATTTTATTATAAAGCGCATCAATGATCCTTATTAATTTTATATATATAAATTTTTTTAACTTAAGTTTTCACGTTAGAGTTAGAATTTATAGTTAGATTTAAGATTTTGGAAATGTAGAATATTTTTATTTAGAACTCCATATAATCATACAGTTTGTCAAACTTCTTGCGCGACCTAATACAGTCATCCTCCTTTATAATCACGCGAATTTTAATAGTAATGTGATTATATAAAGTTTTTTAAATAAATAACTAGATAGCTGCGCGACGTCATTGCGCAAAACCAGGAACGTAAATTGTGAACAAAAGGCAGGATAAATATGCACTTAGTTTACTTAGTTTAATATGGAAATGCTTTATATATGAATTATGTTAAGTAAAAGACTTATAATTGATAAGTTTCTTATGTACTTGGCATATTTTCGCTAGAGCGATGGTATTGTTAAAATTAGATTCGTGAAAAATCGGATACATAATAGAAATTGAAATGTATTATGCTATTTTATATTATAACATGTTATATGTGAAATGTTATTTATATTATGTCATAACTAATTATTAATGTTCATAACTTATTATATGACGTAACTTTTATACTTTAAAAATTTTATTTACGTCATAACTTTTATGTACGTTTTATTTAACTATATACAAATAATTTACATCACACACTACAGCACTAGGGTGTCAACAATCAGTTTAATCACAAACATAGTGCAAGGTATATAGTGGTTGATCATTAGTGATAATTTTTTGATGTGAATTTTCCGAAAATTTGAATTCATATTAAATTACTATTAAAAAATGTCTTTATAAAATTTAATAACTCATGTTATACTTTATATTTTTTCATTTAATAAAATAAATTTAATTCTTCAAATACATCTTTACCAAGTAATAACCGCATATTTTAAATATTTTAAATATTTAATGTATAATTAATATATATTTATCATGCTATAAAAAATAAGTAAAGCTTCATAAAATGCAAAAATAACACTTGTAACTTATTATACTCTTCAATATTAGATAACTTTCAATGAATAAGTAATATATATTAAGATAATCTACAAACTTTATTGAAACCAAAACTAACTCAAACATGTACGTTTTCATAACTTTTGAGAGTTGCAGCTTCTTCGGCTACTCAAAATATGAGCTACAAACTTCTCATTTCAATATATTATCTTTGATTCTATGTTGAGTAATACAATAATATGTAATATAATTGCACTTTGTTAGTTTGTTTTATATTTTACTACTGTAATTTATTATTTGTATATTTTACTTTTATACAGTTTATTTCGCTCTTATTTTTACAAGAAATAAAGAATTTTGTTCAAGAAAGATTAAATTTTCTAGAATATATATATTAATGGAGGTGTGAGTTTAAGAAATTGTTAACTATTTAATTATAATTGCTATTTTTTACAAGAAATAATTAATTTGGTTCAAGAAAGAATAAATTCTCTAGAATTTACGTAACAATAGAGCTGATAATAGCATGAGTTTAAGAAATTGCCAACTATTTAATTATGAATGCAAGGCAAAGTATATAGTAATAAATTAATAATAAATTTTATATCTTCGAAAAAATAGATGTGTTATTTTACTGACAATCGCTTTACAGATAGCTTAGTTTACTACAATTAATTCACAGACAAGTTCATTTCGCCAATAATTATTTTCTTGACAACAAAGTATTTTTATAAATTACACTAACCTTAACTCTAATTCTAATCTGACACTAACAACAATGACTAGAATTACTGTTAATAAAATGTTGTTGGTGAAATAATTGTCAGTGAAATGAACTTGTCTGTAAATTAATTGTCGGTGAACTAATTGTCGGTGTACTAAACTGTTGTCAGCAAAATGCATATCACCTAAAAAAGTCTATTACTTGGTTTAATTTAATTAACTTTTTGTTGCTGCATGAATAATAACCAAATGACATAATACTTAAATCAGAATATTATATATTTGAATATTGAAATAAATATATTGTGTAAGATAAAGTTAATTGAAACAAAATGTCTCGACCTAAAAAACAACAAGTACACTTGAGAAATATACGTAAAAAACAAACCTTTTCTAAAAGATTAATTCTTGATAATATTCAAAGTCATCGCCATCAAATAATTAAGCAAGTAATTAAAGATTTTAATGACTTAAATGATGATGATTTTAATTTAATGATTAAACAAATTAAAGAAATCAGAGAAATATATAGAATTAATAATGAAGCTGGTCTAAATTAATCGATAAAATTCTATATATGTCTACAAATCAAGTTTTTAAAGCAGATCATTTACTTCGAACAATGATATATTCAAAAGGAAAGCAAAAAGGAGAGATATATTCAACTTATCTTCAACTTAAAGCAGCCGAATTTATTAATTCTGAATTATATAAAAAAACAAGTGTATCTCTAAAAGCACTAAAAATTCAAATTATGGTACTTAAAAAAAAATAATACTCTTTTAAAACAAGAAAATAATAATTTAAAGCTTCGAATTCAATCTCTTTCAATGCAAGTTACTTGTGCAAAAAAAAAACAAAAAAAGCATATCTCCAAAATTCGTTCAGCTATTCAAAAGGCAAAACAAGTTCAACCTAATCAATTTCATCATATGGCAAAAAAATTATTTAAAAAAAACAAAAAGGTGTATACAGCTGAATTTGTAAAGTTGGTAACTGATATTAGCAATATGGGAGTTATTTCAATTCAGGCTTCAGTTGATTGTACAAAGGCAATGTATAAATTTTTAACAGGAGATATGCCAACTCATTGGATTAGTCCAAGTATAGTTGCAAAGTGGAATAAAGATATTGCAGCTTTATTATATTATGAAAACCAACCTAATCAAAATAGTTTTAAATTTTTTGGATTCGGAATATTAGCCAATAAAAGTACTCATAGTGAGAAAAAGCTATTAGTTATCTGTTTCTCATACTGGAATTCTGTTAAAAATTATCCAACTATTACTGTTATTAGATTAAAAGATATTTTACATTGTAATATAAATACAATATTTTCAGAAGTTTTACAAATATGTAATAACTTTTCAATGAATCCAAAAGATTACCAATTCTGGTTAACAGACAATACCGCATATATGCTTCAAATATTAATGGGGCTATTGCCCGATTTAATAATACTTCAGGTGCAACATCTTTTAGAATACCGTGTGGCTTACATGCAGTACATATAGCTCTTCTCAATTTTGAAAATACATCATTTGGAAAAATTGAAACACCTAAAGGTCTATCATTAAAAAAACATCCATATAATGCTCTTTATTTAGCTTTTTATTTACATGATGGCTATGATTTAAGTGACAAAGATAGTCCATTAAATTTAAAGTCAAAAATTATTCAAGACTTATACAAAATTGTATTTAATTATAAACTTACCAAATACCAACAACCTATTCGACAAAGATGGCTATATGAATTAAAAACTGCAAATCAATATCTTAAACGTTTAGAAATTCACAAACAATTTGCTCCATATTTTTTAAATCAATTAAATATGGCAAAAAATGTTCCTAAAAGCTATATTCAAAAATGGCAAATATTTAATGAGTGGATTAATAATATACAATTAACTTTTCAAATACGATGTCTTGCAAAATTTGAAAAAACATTTTATGAACCAGTTTATCATTTTTTAATTAATTATAATTCAATACCTCGTATTTATAGTTTAAACAATTTAGAATATTTTCCTGCTGGCAACTGTGCTCATGAAATGTCAGACATGATACTAAATTGGATAAACCAACTTCAAAATAATATAGAAAATATATCTGAACTTTTTAACAATGAAATAAATTAGTATTGAAAATATTTTACCTTCGGATATTATTGATAGTCTGAGTAATTCTTTGCAAGCTGGAATTAGACATGCATCTGATGGATTCATAAAATGGATGAATGTTTTCATTTGCCATTAAGTATTTGTAGATTAGGTAGTAATCATGGTTCAGAATATGCACGTGCATTTTTAAAAGTTTTTGGTTTTCCATTTAGATCTAATTGTTTAACATTACATAAAAAAATCTATATTGAGTATTTGCAACAAGATGTGATTAATCAAAATCAAAATACTTTTGGATTACTTGATGCATTATCAGATAATAATTTTTATGAACAATTTAGAAATTTTGCAAATTTAGATAGTAAAGAGCCATGGAAATTTCCATTAGTTTATGAATTTATCAAATATCAGATTTATAGTATTATAGTTCATCAACAGCACCTTGAAAGTATGTTTAATCGCTATGATATTAAAACACATCAAAATATAAATATGGAACTTCAACAAGCTCGAATTCAAATTTCTGGTTCAAATAATAGAATTGAAAACATAACACAAGAAAAACTTCAACATATTCGAAAAGAATTAAGAAATTCAGATAACAATATAGAGTCAGAAAATTTTACAGAAAGTGCACAAACTATTTTAGATACTTTCTTGGTTTGGCGTCATTAATAAACAAGCTTTAAGTGCAATTTATTTGTGTTTTTATACAAGATTTTGTATTACTTTGAAAACTCTAAGAATGCATACTATCGTAAGAAATTAATAATTTAGAATAAATGTGTGGCAAGAAAAAAAATTACAAAAATAATTAAGGCAAAAAACTAGCGAAATTGAATATATAATTAACAATCACATAAACACTTGTATTAAAATATTTAGCTTTTTTAGAAAAGATATTTATATTCTTTTTAGCATGTATATAAATAAAAATCTTATAAAAATCTTAAAAAATGTAGCCAATATTCTGTTGTCTGTTCTAATAATATACTTTATTCTAATTTGAGCGAAATTTATTATTCCCTGTAAGAATGAGATGATATAAATATGTATAAAAGTAAAAATAAGAAAAATAATAGATAATAATACTAAAATATGAGGCAATGCTAATAAAGAGTAATATTATTAATCGGGTTAACCATGATAGAATTGAAGACAATTTGCTAAAAAATAAAAACTTGTGAATTGTTAAGTGACTGAAAGAAACAAGAATGTGCTTAAGCAAATAACCTCTAGTCGTGTGGATTATCTTAAAATATGTTATTTGTTAATTGAAAGCTTCCCAATATTGAAGAGTATAATAAGTTACAAGTGTTATTTTTGCATATTATAAAGCTTTATTTATTTTTTATAGTACGATAAATACATATTAATTATACATTAAATATTTAAAATATTTAAAACATGCGGTTATTACTTAATAAAGATGTATTTAAAGAATAAATTTATTTTATTAAATAAGAAAACATAAAGTACAACATGAGTTATTAAATTTTGTAAAAAGGCATTTTTTAATAGTAATTTAATATGAACTAAAATTTTCGGAAAATTCACATCAAAAAATTATTACTAATGATCAACCACTATATACCTTGCACTATGTTTGTGATTAAACTGATTGTTGACACCCTAATCACACTTGGCCAAATCCAATGAACTTTTTTTGTTTTACTTGTGGACATTAGTAGAATCTGAATCAAATATTATTAGGTGGGTATCAAGATATTTTCATTCAAATTTGAAATGCACTTCTATTTAAATTTTTACAAAAATTTATCTCGACACCCACTTGGCCAAATTCAATGAACTTTTTTTTTTTTTACTTGTGGCATTAGTAGAATTCGAATAAAGAAAAATTTATTGAATATGATTAGGTAGGTATCGAGATATCTTCGCTCAAAGTTTGAAATGCACATCTACTCAGATTTTTACAAAATTTGTAATCGAAGATATCTCAACACCTACCTGACCAAATTCAACAAAGTTTTTTTTGTTTTAATTATAGAGATAATCAGAATTTGAATAAAAAAATGTTCATCGAATTTGGTGAGATAGGAGTCGAGATAACTTCGATCAAAGTTTGAAAATAAATTTCAATGCACTTCCATTGTTAGACATTAGGGAATTTTTACAACTACTTGGTTAACCAAAACGAGATATCGTACACTAATAGATGACACACTATAGAATCGGGAATTGACAAGGAATCTTTGGAATTGTGATTTTTTAAGTGGGAATTTTTTAAAAAACAAAGAATTTAAAGGAATTTTACAGATTTCCGTGTGATGGATAATCGACGGCTGATCACAGTAATTTGTAAACATAACAGATCATAGCATTAGATTGAAATCTTTGATAAAATTCGGTAAATTTTTTTTTATTTTAATTCCATATATTTATAGAATTAAAATATTGAATTTCATTTATATATAATAAAAAAAATCCTTGAATATCTTAGGAAAAAAACTAAAATCGAGTGAATTTTCTCTTTTTAAACTTTGATCGAAGATTTCTTGACACACGTCTATCCAAATTTGATGATTTTTTTTTTATTTTTAACCCTATGAATCTATAGAATTATTCAAAGTTTAAAAAAGGAAAATTTCACCCGATTTTAGCTTTTTTTCCAAAGAATATTTGAGAATTTTTTTTAAACTTTTACCGGATTTCTCGACAACCATTAAACCAAATTCAATAAACTTTTTTATTTTAATTCTCCAAGTGTATAGAATTAAAATAAAATAAAATAAATTCACCAAAATTGATCAAGTAGTTATTAAGAAATCATCGCTAAAAATTATAAAGCTTTTCAAATCTTAAAAGGATCGACGCAAATAAAGCCATGACCTGATTGGTAGATATTCAACAAACCGGGCACAGATTCAAAAATTGCCTGCGGAATCTGTAATATAATTTAACAAATTATGTTTTCGATATCAGCAAATTATTACTGCTGATTAACAATAAAAGTACGAATTATAAAATTTAAAAATTTATCTAAAAACTTGCGTTTTTTTAAAAATGGTGTGCTAAAAAAAAAATTGTTTTTTATGCACAAATATATAACCCATAATATTTTTATTTCTTTGAACTATTGAATTATATATTTACTAAAAATAATTACAGTAAACCACATAGTTTTTGTGATTTGCTTCGGTCACAGTAAATTGCTGACCCTGGCCAGAATTACTTTGTAAAATGAATTTTGGCGAAATAAATTGTCGGTGAAGTGAACTTGTCAGTAAGTAATTGTTAATGAAATGTAGTGTCTACGAAGTTATTGTCGATCCCCTTAAGGATATCTCTTCTAGCAAATTCAGCATCTAAGTTGTTGCATAGAAATCGAAGAATTGTTTGTTTCGAATTCTCAGGAACATAAATATCTCATACTTGCTGATAAACTTTTTTAATTCCATTAATTCATTCTACATTAAAATAAAAGGTCACTTAATGGTCAGTCATTATGATGTGATAAGAGATTCCAATAACTTACCATCAACTATTTTAATAACTTCTTCACGGAATTCGTTAGCATTATCATCAACATTTTTTACGTAGATCTATAAGTCAATCTACTTCGAAAGCACACACACCGATGATATAAAAAATTCGTCCTCCACATAGATCAAATATCCTCTTTGTAATTTGAGTATCAATCTTGCGATTATTAACTAAATAAGCCAAAGCTTTATTTTTATTAAAATCACAAATGTATAAAGTTATGCAACACGAATAGGAAGAATTTTCCAGATATTATTATGGTAATTATATTAATTAGGAGTATTAACATTTTAAAATTTAATAAAATCTGAATAGTACTACTCATGAAATTGTCGACTAAATTTGTATCACTTGCTACGAATACCACGGTAAAGAGACGATGATCTGCTGTAGTTTTAGCAACATTTTGGAGCTTTCAATCACTTTAGGATTGTTTTTTGCGATTTTAGCAATGCCATCAATTATAAGTACCGGATGAATGGAATATTTCTTCATCAGTTTCGAAGCAAATTCTTTGAACCTTTGTCATAATAATTTATGTGTGTAAGGACCTACTAAATAATTAAAAGGTTGTCAATTCCCTAACTACTAAAATAATAAATATTGTTACCACTTAATTGACTCGACAGCCATTCGACAAGATTAATATAATTAATTGTCTTTGCAAATTTTCACCAAACTTTTCAATATAATCTGATCCTTCAACATACATTAAGCCTTTTTTAAAAGTTCCGGCCACAAAGTACTTTCCCACAACCATGAGAACCAATAACAAGATAGTAGGTAGGACTTTATAACGTCGGTGTTAGAATCCCTTTAATTAGATCTATTTCTTTTTTTTCATTGAAAATGTTATTTCTTACTGGTGGTAACTTACCATTAAAAAAATACTTCGCAAAGTTTGTAAATTTTGAATCAAATAAACTGAGGTAGCGGCTCCAATAAATCCAAATAAAACAAATCTTGCAAATGATACATGAGTGAAACGTTCTCTTAAGCCTAGTAAATGCTTGATAAGTTTTAGAATCTAAATGATTTCGACGTATTTGACTGTTCTTTAAGAGTCCTGGCCACTTTAAGTTAGGTTATTATTAACAAAAATTCAATAAACTTTATGAAGCAATACTGTAACTTACGTTCTTAATACTCTCATTACTACTTAAGGCCGACGGACTAAACGATAATTGTAGCATATTTTTTTTTACATATGTAAATCATTTAACAGTGTTCGAATAAGTATTGATAGTAGAGATGGCAAATTATTTAAAAGATGATCTTTAATATGGTTTAAATACCGTATTGTCGTGAAATAACGCGCGGGTGTAATTTCATATTTTGGCTGAAATTAAGCATAACTCGGGCCATTAGTCTAAATAATGCCCATGTGCGTTATTTCGCGACAATACGGTATGATAATTTAATGAATGTTTTCTCGAAACGATATTATGGAACTTTTCCGGACAGAAATTAACTAATCAGAAACAATTATTTCAGTCTCAAACTCAGCTGCCAATGTTTTAAAACGTTTTTGTGTTTCAGTTAAAAAAAACAAAAGATTTTTACCACCTTAATTTGGATTAATTGTCCCGTCGTAACAATACAAACTTTGGGTAAAATTAAGAACAATATAAAGTATAATTTGGGCCAGATGGTATTCCGTGGCGAACAAGATACTTTTTAAGTGCGTGCGATGAAGGTCTTTAATGTTTTAGTAAACGATATTATTCAGGGTAGAAAATAGACCTTAATGGGGTTTCAAAATTAATGATTCGGCCAGATAAAATAAGTGACGCGTTTATTTACGAGGATGCCCTGCAGAAATAGAAACTCATTCAGCGAATATTTATCCCGTAGTTCTATCATCTTACACAATGCTATCGGCGTTTTGATTAATTAAATACAAAATATAACGATAACGATAATTTATTTTAAATTTTTGCTTTTATAATAACCAAATTAAGTTTACACTACTAGTTACTAGTAAATCTATTTCGTAATCGCATATGGTGTAGACGAAGGAAATTTACGGAGCATCTCAAGACAATACTTCGTTTCGTCGCTCCGAAAGTTTGGCACGAATATATTTATCGTAGTTACGTAGCAGAATTAATAAATGTAATAATATAATTAAAAAGGGTTAGATATAATAAATTTTATTATTGGTTGCTTCGCATCCAATACAGGGCTCTTGATAATTTTGTTTATAATATCCACCAAGGTTAATTTATATATGGAGGGCATCACCTTTATAACAAAGATGGGTAGTAACTTTTTTATTCGGGCATATTAATTTATCAATTTTGACTTTTCCAACCCGGAATTTTTAGTCGCTCTGGTTGAATTTTGATTGCGCGACTAATCTATTCTAACCAAAGCGGTAACTAATATTGATTTTTTGGTTAGTTTTGTCGCGTCCACGTATACCACATACTTTATTACAAGAAGGAAATTGCACCTTTTTTAATTACTTGTGTTATATATAAAACCCCTTAAAGTATCAGACAATAAGATTAAACAAAAATATGCATCTAAACAAAAAATAACATACCCACAATTTTGAACTAATAATTTTAATTATCATCATCAAATTTAACAAAACCATCGAATTCATTCTTTGAATCAAAAGTAACATCATCAAAACCATTATCAATATAATCTCGTTTAGAAAATTTTTCATGACACTCCTTTAGATTATCCAAAAGTTTTTTTAACTTATCGATTTGATTTTTTGTAATGCTAATCTTATCGTCAAGTTCAGCTTCTATATCATGTAACCTATTTCTATAATTATTTAAAATAATAATCAACCTATTTAACCCATAACCTGATCTATATAACAAATCTAAAATTTCTTGAGCTTGTTCTAAATGACTTTTAGCATTTTCAATATCGATAATTAATTCATCATTTACGTATGATGGTGACGATCGATATTCATTTTGACGCGTTCCAAGTTTTACAAATTTTTCGGCTTCAATTTTAATTCCACGAAATAATCCTTTTTCAGTTTGATCTCTAATAGAATCTGCAACTCTAACTGCTCTGATAGCTGCCGTAACCTTTGATTTAAATGCGTCAACAACTTGCATCATATCTTTAATTCTTTCTTTAAAAAATGCAGGATCATCATCTTTAAAGAATATTTGTCCGAATATATTTGGTTTTAATTTTTCGAGAATTTGAGTTATCTCTCTATCTAAAATCCAAAATACCAAGTCACCTTGACGGTACATATCTTCAAACGCTTCACCAGCTTCCATTATTTGAGTGCTGTAATGACGAAGATATGATGCGATGGCTGCACCATTATTTTTAAAACCAGGACTAGTTTCGAGAATGTTGGCTAAACGTTTATATAAGACAGTTCCTTTCATAATTGTATCTGATGCTTTATTATTATTTATTGAAATATGTATAAATGTATATAACAAAAAATTATTAGTATAAATTTTTAAGATTTTTCAAAAACAGATCTTACTTCATTATTACCAGGTAAATCGCTAATCATGTTAAGATCTTGCATCAAAGTAACTGTTGAGTTTGTAAATACTTCCAAGAAAGGACGTTGCATCTATTATTTAAACAAGTAATTTTAATTTCTAATATTTTTAAAATATAAATATTAATGTGTTAATTAACTAACCGTAATATGAACCTTTTTATCTTCGACATAAATTGAATCCTATGATAATAATAAATGGCAATGTTAATCAAATGATGATAAAAATAGTATAAATATTCGATAAATAAAAATACCAGTCGATAAACAGTAAAAGCGAGAGCTGTTAATGCAAGGAAAATCAATAAAATCCAAGTCCAGTGAAGACTCGTCGAAAATGGATTTTGAGATTGTGCTTGTTTATCGTTTGTCTTAGTCTGTCCTTCAGATGATTGTTCTTTTTCAACACCAGGGTTTTTGGAATTTTTTGTATCTGTTGGAGGTTGTGAAGCACGCTGACGTATATTTGGATTTTCCTTACTACTAGTCCAACCTAAAATAAATAAATAAATAATTGATGGTGAGAAAGCGATTAACAGAATTGATTTTTCAGAAGACAAATTTAGTTTACCTTGGTTTGGCAAAGAATTTTTATTATTGTTTTCGAATTTAATATCAGAATTTTCTACTGATTTTAATCCATCTAAAGGAACTGTGGAAAATTTCACTTCACTTTTATTTTCCTGATGCAAGTTTGACTTATTTTGAAACATCATTTGGCCATGTTCACTTGTATTATAAATATTAGAGTTCGTTTGTGACCTTTGTTGTGGTTGCAATGGTCTTAACAGTTGTTGTTGCATAGGATTTGTATCATTCCGTGGCCGCATTTGTAAAGGTGGCTGTCTTTGAGATAGTTGTTGCGAAGGTGGTTGTGATTGCTGTGGAGGTGATTTACGATGAACCAATTGTTGAGGAGGTGGTGGCCGATAAAATAATTGCGGAGGTGGTTGTTGGTAAGAAGGTTGTTGTTGGTGTGATGGCGGTTGTTGGTGTGATGGCGGTTGTTGGTGTGATGGAGGTTGTTGGTGTGATGGAGGTTGTTGGTGCGATGGAGGTTGTTGGTGCGATGATATTTGTGGTGATTGTTGATGTGGTGGTGGTTTATGTGGTGGTTGTTGATGTGGTAGTTGTTGATGTGGTGGTGGTTGTTGATGTGGTGGTTGTTGATGTGGCGGTTGTTGACGTGGTGGTTGTTGATGTAATGGTGGTTGTTGATGTTGTGGTTGTTGATATGGTGGTGGTCGAGACACAAAAATAGACTGCTGATTTTTCTGCGACTGTTCAATATTCACCATTTCTGTTTTTGGTTTTAATAATCCGGTGGATGGTGGATTACTGCTAGCATTGGTAGATGATACATTACTACTGGCGTTGGTAGATGATACATTACTGCCAGCATTGTTAGACTCTAAATTATCAAGAACTTTGTCGTTTTCTGTTCCCGATGATACTGAAATTACGATTGTTGAATGATCTATCACTGATGATCGATTACTTGATTTTGTTTTTTTTAATTCAGAGGGATTAGCGTTGCTAATTTCTTGAGATGTTTGGTTAATTTTATTGCTTATTTTTTTTTGGTTTTCGACTACTCTATTCGTAGTTGCATTTTCACCTTTATTGTCATGCATGTTTATTTCCTTTGCTTTAAATTTTAACCCTTTTCTTTCAAAGTTATAAATAATAACGAAAATTTTTTTTTCCAAATTTATTAAGTATAATCGTGGCTTAGATAATGCGAAGCGGTGTCCTATAAAAAAAGATTCCAGTTTTTGATCCGGTACTATGGATCAGAAGATGATACTTTTTTTGAAAATGATACGTGTCTAATAGAAAAATATACGAAAAATGTTCTACATTAGATATTACTATGGAGTTATTTACTTTTGAGACTTTTTCTTACGAAGCTCGAAATATTATCCATTATTTTAATACTAATATCTGGTGTATTACGGAATATTGTAATATTGTAATGGATTTAAAATTTAGTTGTTCGCTTTTTATAATTCGACGTACATACACATAACAATAATAAATAAGCCAATGGCTTAGCTTGTACCCATACGATAGACTGCCCGAACTTCCGTTACTTTTGAACATCATCAGATCAAAAAATTAGTCATGTGATTGTTCTCGATGCGAGGAAAAAAAAGAAACTTCTTAAAAAGAAATCGCAACGCCCGAGGGGGGGCTCGAACCCCCGACATTCAGGTTAAAAGCCTGACGCTCTACCAATTGAGCTACCCGGGCAGTTATAATAAAACGTCAGAATTAAAACTATTTGAAGATATTGTAATATTGTATCTATCCCAATTATAAACATTATTAACGATGTAATCTGTCAAAATTTGGGGAATTATAACGACACAGCATGCACGTGACTTATCTCTGTTATCGGCACAGCAAATGATCGACATTGAAAATTAAAGTTTCTTTAAAACTTTGAACGAAGGTATCTTGACAACCATCTAAGAAAATTCGATAAACTTTTTTATTTTAATTCCATGCGCTTATAGGATTAAAACAAAAACAAGTTTATCGAATTTACTTATATGGTTGCCGAGATATATTCGTTTAAAGTTTGG